TTTTTTTTTTTTTTTTTTTTTTTTTTTTTTTTTTTTGGATCCGCGTTCGGCCGAAAGGCTGAACGCATCGAGAGGGGATGTCGAACGTTCGGGCGTTCGGCCCGTCCCGAACGTCAGCAACCCTGTATATATATATGTGACGATATATATATCTTCTCCCTCTCTGAATAGTTCTATTTGACGATATATATATATGACGATATATATATATAATATATATATATGTCACAGCCCCTCGTTTGTTGTCCTCTTCTCCCTCTCTGCCTACGGTTTACCGGGCAGTTCTATTTGACGATATATATATATAATATATATATATCCACTGCTGCAGTTTTCAGTACAACAGTTTCCCTAACTGTAATTCCCCCTACTTCAGTTTTTACTGCTACAGCTTCCTGTCCTGCAGCTCCAATGCAAAGAACATCATAATCTCTCCGGCGCTCACGTCCTTTGCTCCGAAATCTTGCCGAATGCTCCCCCCCCTCATCTTTGTCAGATACGGGCATTTAGACTGGACTCGAACCTGAGAACTGCTAATTTGACTGGAATACCATTCAGTGATCCTCTAGATACTCTTTTAGGATTCGAACCACTGACTTTTGGGCTTAGATTTTTTTGTTCTTCGACCTGGCGGGGGTCTGTCCCCGTTTTCGGTTGAACCATTCTGGTACTTACCGGCAATTTGGGCCCCACCGGGCCTGTTCACGAACCTAGTAGTAGCCTTCCTATAGTCCATCGTAGATATAAGTATTCTTGTAGGTCTTGTTATCTTCATCCTGCACTAGATATTATGCGACCCCTGATGACGCCGGACAAGCGACCGGCAGAAACACGGTGTTGGGTCTTTTCGCCTGATATCACTGTGCTTCATGTTCATATTTTTTGAGATTACCTGCGCTCGGTTCCTTTTCTACTTCTCGAGTGGTGTGGTCTATGTATGTTGCTTCGATGTGTTCGAACTCATGTTTGAATGCAATGACTGATGTTTGCTGCATTAGTCCACGCACGAACCAACATAGCAATAGTACTACGGATGTGTGACTGCGACCTAACACCTACGCCATCTTCTATAATCTAACCCGCTCTAACCCTCTCCCTTCTTTTATCTCCTCCGTTTTTTCTTGGTTTTTGCCTTTTCGATCGATCAACCCGTATGTCATTACTGCCGACGACCGGGGCATTTTATTCGTGACTGCCGAACACGCACGAGGGATATGGAGCAGCAAGCTAGGCAAGCTAACGGGACTCAAGCCTCAACGTCCGGTTCAACGCATGTTCTGCCGGCTCCAGGAGCCATTGTGCTGTACCAGGCACCCTCTAACGATGTTCGTAACGATCAATCGACGGGGAATAATGGCGGCTGTTACAACAGTGGCTATGGAGGTGGATACAACAACTACAGGTGGTCCTGGTATTCATAGCCAAGGGATAGAAACGAGAAGGTTGAGAAGATGTGGAGCTGGATGTAAGAAGAAATGGAGGAAAGACAACGGATTAAGAAGGAGAGAGAAGCAATTATTAAAAAGGAGCAGGAAGAGAAGAAGAAGAAAGAGGATGAGGAGAAGCGACTGGCTGAGATTAAAGACAAAGAAGATTTCAAGACAAGTATCGGGAAGATGGTTGAAAGTCAGATGAGGAGCGTATGTGAAGAAGTTCTGGGAAGAAGAACAGGTGAAGGGGAACGACCTTTACTTGCGACAACTGCGGAGATCTGTCGGCGGACAGATGCCGAGGCGGCCAAGAGTCAAGACAATATTGAACTGCTTAGGAAGGACGAGGAGATTACTAGACTGAAGCAGGCGATGGCGGAAATGCAAAGGCAGACCTCCCGTCCGAATCAATCAGAGCAAGAGCTAATTTCGCTGAAGATGGATAACCAGCACTTGATTCAGGATGTTATTAGCCTCAAAGAGCAAGTTGGTGAACTTGTCAGAGCGGTGAAACCAACGCTTGGGGGGACGGTGGCTGGTGGCTCGACGCCAACGACAGCTGAAGGAATAGGGAAAACAAGGAACGAGCCCACCCATGGGGACTACGTCAAGTTGGCTAATGCCTACAGGAAGCTCAGAGACGATAAAGATATGGCTGAGCAGGAGGTGCAAGCTCTGAAGGAGGGGATTAACAAAATTGGAGCTGCAACCACCACCCCTACGAGTGCTAAGAGAAAGAGGACTCTGCGAAAAAGCGTGTCTCCGCCTGCCAATTTGCGTATTCGGATGAGTAAGGCAACTAGTCCAGCCAGGAAAGCGGAGACCAGTGAGAGGACGCAAGTGAATGTGGAATTTGTCAAAATGAAGAACGAGACGTGTGAGGTTTTTAAGAAGAGAGTATGCATCGAGCTGTCGAAATTGAAGAAGAAGGAGATTGAGAAGCTATGTGAGCACGAAAAGCTGGAATACGTGACAATTAGGACATTTGCAGCAGAGATTGCCGATATCTATACAGATCGGGCCTTTGGGAAACGAAACGATCCTCCTACTATCGACAACACCGAGGCATCCCAAGATTCCGAAGACGTCGCCGGTAGTAGTGACCGAAGTGGCAATGACGAGGATGACGCCACGAACGGCTGCTAGGACTGGTCACCGAGTGCTGGTGAACTCCGGGAATTAGCTTTGGCTTGTAGGGATGCGGGAGACAATCGACGACTGCAACGGGACGGTAAGATTGACATCGTATTCAGAATAGTGGTCATTACTTTAATTCTCCTTCGACAACTGCCTTGGTGTGACAAACTTATTCTGTATCTGCGCTATTTATTCTCCGTTGACTATGATTTCATCTCCTGCCTTGGTCCACTGATCTATGTCTTGGTTTCTCCGTGGTGCAGACACATGTACGTTGGTTGTTCATCTCGGACCTTGAAGTGTAGATGGAATGAGCATCTGTACCGCGCAAATGGGACACCTAATCAGAACGTTAGGAATCACCGGTTGTACCAATGGCTTCGTTGTGAAAGGATTGGTAGTTATGTGGCAATACCGATTGCGACAACATGCTTTAATCAATTGCTGGAAATAGAGACGTATTTTATTCGTAGTTTTAATCCTTTTTTAAATTCAATTCCTGCTCATGGGAGGCGGCGAGAAAGGAAAAACTGGGAAGGTATGATGTACGAAATAATGGGCAAACGGGTTTAAAAGCAGAGGTTGGGCAAACGGGAAAGGAAACTGCGAAGGTATGATGTACGAAACAATGGGCTACGGAAGACGGACGTTGTCAAATCCTTTGTTATTTTTCGATCTGACACAAAAAGTGTTTCTAATAGTCTTCGCTGTATCCTTGACGAGTGCTTTAAACAACATGTTAGATCTGTAACGATTACTTGTTCAAAGGGTGAGGTGCTCGCTGAAAACTGGAAGGTGCTTAAAAGGTGCTATGGGTCGTCCGTAGTGATGATTGGCGAAAAGGTCGAGTTGCTCCGGCATTGTAGAGGTTCGTTGGTATCAGGGGTTGTCCTGTTCGTTGAGACTCTGGCGAGATTCTGTTCAAGATTTCAGAAGCAAAAAAGTAGTCTGGTCGAACTTTTGAGGAGCCCCGTTGCATGCATGAAACTGTATCGTGAGGCGCTTGATAGGCTTGTAAAACTGTATAACTGTATCAAGTGTTTTTCGAAAAAGGAAAGCAGGGCAAAGTTGAGAGCGACGTTAGCTCGGGTGATTAAAAGCAAGTTCTCGATTAAGATTAGGACTAAAACCACTATTAGGATTCTATTTGACTCTTCCTTGTCTCAAAAAAGAATTAGGGATGTATGCCTTTCTACGGTTAGATTGTCCTCCATTCGAAGTCCCCTTAAGCAGATTATCTGTAGGAAATGACGGGTTGTCTGGACCAGAAATAGGTCGGTTGGTGATATTTTGTACAATTTCTGAAGTTTCTCACGACAAAAGGTTCATGTTTGCGATTGCCAAAAGTTAAACCTCCCAAAAACTGATGGGCATGTGTCTTTTCGATTAAGAGATGTTGATTGGATTCCCAAGATTGCGAATAACAATAGGAATGTATTGTTCCCTGGTTTTCGATACGATTTTACGAAGCTTATAGGCTAGATTCTTGATGGACTTTAAGAGTGTTCAGAATGATACGAACGTTTTTTCGATCTCGGATGTTGACTTACGAAATTGCTTCACTCGCTCCACGGGGCCTTGTGTGTCCTCTACCGATTGTTTGAGGGAAGTACAGGGTCTGAAGCGTGAGTTGGATGGTCTTGTTATTAGTCCTATCGACCATAACCCGGGAGACTCTTATGTCTGTTGTCCGATTATCTTTAGGAAGGGTATGGAAACCCTGTTTATTAAGAATAAAGGTTTTTCGTTGATCCAATGGGAAAAATCAGAGGTTATTAAAAGTACTAAGGAGGAATTTCATATTGCACGCCTTCACAATTCTGTTCTGTTTAACCGACAAGGGAAGCTGGGTAGAACATACGGGATCCCTAAGCATACGAATGTCGCCAAGTGGCATCCCATTTGTCCCTCCTTTTCTGACCCATTGGTACGACTAAGTAGAGTAGTCTCTAAGTCTGTTAATCTGTTACTATGGACACTACTTGAAGAATCCAATTTCAATATGAGATACACAAGTGATATGATTGGAAGACTCAACAATTTCAATGGCTCCATTGGCGAAGATGAGGAAGTGATTGCATCAAGTTTCAACGACAAAGAGATGTTTACTGCCTTGCCATATTCTTCCATCATTAAGGCAGCGGAGTGGTTGCGTTTTTGAGGAAAACGGGCACTCCCATGTATTCGTCAAGATAAAGGGAAAAGGTGGCATTCTAGGTAGACGGAAAGAGGCTCCTACAGGGTTTCGACGTATTGGTTTCTCGTTGCTCTTGAAGAT